TGCTCATAACTAGTCCAGACTTATTGACACGCATTGTCATATATATGAGAACTGAAAATGAAATCTAAATCCAACATATTAATCTGATATATTGATTGCAGGTGTTCATGTATGTGGAACAATTTACAAATGGGAAATTGATATCCCTCCCATAACAGAGACTTGGGGCATTTAACATTTACCAATAATTCTTCTGCTTTCATTATCTGATAACGCTAAGTTCTCCTCCTATGGCAACAGAACAACAATCCACCAGCTAAGAGTCTCCACATTAATTTTCAACACTTAGTATTTGAGATGATCATGTCAAACATGACAAACAGATAAGCAATAAGAGTCTACAGGTCCTTGTCATGACATGCTGTCAAATATTTCCATTTAGTAAAACGTATCAGTGAGTGAAGATGTAAAGAATTACTTTGTATCCATGAAGGGTCACTCCTTTCAGGCAAGCTGGAATTTGGAGTAGCAATCAGTCAATGCCAAATGGAAAATTGTTTTTTATTAGGATTTTATCACCAGAGACTGTTTTCCATTTTCATGTTATACATATACTTAGAAATATATACACACACACACGCACACAGATAGATAGATAGATAGATAGATAGATAGATAGATAGATAGATAGATAGATAGATAGATACAAATATATATACATATATTGTGTTATTTTGATACCTATATACGGACGGTGTGAAAAAGAAAATAGATAATACAATTTATAAATAAAAAATATATTTGAACAAACCGATATCAGGGAAAAAAAATCAGTAAAAAAAGAAAAGACTAAAAACATCCATGTTGGTCAAAAATAATCAATCAGCACTGCAATGCCCAGTCAAAAGAAAAAAAAACACCAACAGAGTAAATTAAGTAAAAACATAAAAGTGCTCAATACATTAAGTAGAGCAAATGTAAAAAAACCTAGTGAGCCAAAACCTACCTACCAATGTTTCACATAACTGATATTCAGGGTACTAATATATAAATTTATTTATAAATAATACCAATTTGTGACTGGCAGGGGTTATTCCAAGGAAGATATTAATCCAAAGAGAGCTCAATGTAAATTTAAATTACAGAGCATAATAATATTAATAAATAATAAATCAAGAAAAAACCTTAAAGATTCAATTCTGTTATAATTTATTTCATGAATATTTTTACATTCATCTCTTCAGGCTGAAAGTTCTTAATAAATGGAGACAATTCATCTGGACTGATATACTAAATTAACAGGAGGAGAAAAATCACCAACATTCCTTCTCCAATGCTTCCTAAAAACACCAAACAGCTCTATCCAAGCATTTTATTATACACACACACACATATATATATATATATATATATATATATATATATATATATATATATATTATTTATTTAAAATTATAAGATAAATATGTTATAAAATCACTACAAAATAGCCATTTTGTTTCAACACTTCTGGTGTCTTATCAAGTGATGATGTTGAATGTAGGTTAATTTAGTCTGTATACACCAATCATATACTTATATATATATATATATATATATATATATATATATATATGGCATAAACACAAAATATGTATACTTTAAAATCATTGCAAAATCAAATGTTTCAATGGGTGGTTAAGAATAAGATTTTAAAATATTATTGGTACAATATGACCATTATATAGGAGTCAATATCGCATAAAAATAACATTCAGAATAAGACTAAGAATCTTTTTAAAAATCCTTGTTTGGCACTAAATGACCATTACATAGGATGTCCTGAGTAAAACGATAAACTACATTTATGTCCTGGGTAAAACAATAAACTATGTCCATGTCCTGGGTAAGACGATAAACTATGTCCAAGGCCTCTGATCAGGAGACTTTGAGGAGCATGGAATCATCTCTTAATTGCTGGTGTTCCTAGATCCATCCTAACCCGGAGTGGTAGCACCTGTTAGGGTCCCAACTATAGGCAAATTGTTACCCCCAAACTAGAGTCAAAATACTATGAGTGTAAAAATAGGTTTTAATACCAGCAATACGTTTTTGTAAAGAAGATTACCAGCAATATATTTTTGATGAAAAAATATTATCAGCAATAAAAATTTTGTTGGCATTAACTAATCCATTGAGGTCGATATGCTGTAAAATTAACCAAACTAAACCCAGACCCATTATATAGGAGTTAATTTGCCATAAAATCACATTCAGAATCAGAACCTTGCAAATGTGATTAAAGATTATGAGAATATATTTTAAAATGCTTGTTTGGATGACCATTATATTCAACAGGTGCTCCCTCAGGTAAACCACCCACATTCCGTTTATTTTCTATTGGTGAGATGTAAGTTCTACTCAAGCAGTTTCTTCCCATGAATCACTGCTTTGGATAATGATTCCCTGATCACTACTATCTTGGCCTGTTCAAGTCTAGAGTCAACCATTATCTTCCCCACATATCCTCATAAATTTTGCCTCTTTTTCTGTAACCATCTACTTCAAGTAGCTCTTGAGTCATGTACAGGGCAAATATCAATGGAAAAAATATAGCTACCAATGTGCCATAAAACCACTTTCAGAATCTAAAACTTGAAGATGCAATTAAAGACTATAAGAATCTACTTAAAACTTCTTGTTTGGCACAACATGACCATTATATAGGAATCAATATCCCATAAAACCATATTCAGAATCAGAAACTTGGAGAACTGATTAAAGACTATAAGAATCCACTTTAAAATCCTTGCTCTACATGATCATTATAGCGGAATCCATGTGCTATAAAAACACTCGGAATCAAAAGCTTTGCAATATTTTAAAGAAAATGTGAAAAGTTTAAAATATACTTTAGAACACTTGTTTGTCATTACAACTTTTTCATATCAAAGTTGATATGCCATCTGTTTTATTCACATTTTGTGTCATATTGTTTAAGTGAAATTGTAAACATGCATCCAAGCCTCCAAATATACTGAAGTGTCTGTAAATACTTATGGCGAATCTTTGTTGTGGTTAAATTTTACATAAAGCAATTTTCTTTCCTTTCTTCTCTACCCAGTAATCAAGGAACTTTTATATTTCGGGCAGCCTTTGAAAAGGACTTTCATATACAATTTAAACTGGCTACACTTCTTGTCTGAAAGACATCTCATCAGGGATGCATTTATAAATATTGAAAAATGCTTTTTGTCTTGCTGCTTGTATATGGCAATGTGAGTGAATAAAAGACGCCAACATATTTTAAAATGAGAGAATAATGTCTTCTAAAAATATGCATTCCTCCCCACCTTATTTGTAACTTTTTACATTTCTAACTCCAGGGAGGAAAACAACATTTCAGCTTCATTTTCTCATCTTTCTGTTCTCAAAAACAAAATAGAATAAATCTTGACATAAATAAAAGCCAACTATAACTTTCCAGCCCAAAATAGATTGATCTGAAGGTTAACAAACATGTCACAACTTGATATCCTTTCAAGAAACATTCTAATCTCTCATGTCTTCTCTTCCAGACAACGTGACTTTTATATATAGATGATAGTATCTGTCTATATTTCTGAGATGAGGTATTGTAATTTATTTACACTATTTACATTGTTTGGACTATTGTCCTCATCTCCGTTGCAATATTAACGGCATTTAGATCGTTGTATGCTCCGCCTTCTTCAGGATCTGTTTATATTTCTGGGATGAGATATTGTAATTTATTTACACTTTTTACATTGTTCGGACTGTTGTCCTCATCTACATTTCATATTCAAGACGTTTAGACCATTGTACGCTCCGGCCTTCTTCTATATCTGTCTATATTTCTGAGATGGGGTATTGTAATTATTTACACTATTTACATTGTTCAGACAGTTGTCCTCATCTTCGTTGCCATATTCATGACGTATAGACCGTTGTACGCTCCAGCCTTCTTCTATATCTGTCTATATTTCTAGGATGAGGTATTGTAATTTATTTTCACTATTTACATTGTTCGGACAGTTGTCCTTATCTTCGTTGCCATATTCACGACATTTAAATCAATGTACACTCCAGCCTTCTTCAGGTGATGGCCCAGTGGATAAAAGCATTGATTGAATCAAGTGACTTGACCCAAAGAGTTATAAATTCAACAGAGGGGAAGTAAAAAAAAATTGGGGAGTTGAGTTAAAGCGAGATAACTGATACTGAGACATCCAGAAGAGGCATGGCACGTGGAACTAGGACAATCTAGCCCCGTAGACAAAATAAAGACTTCAATTTGAAATTCCAATCACCCAAAGAAGGCCGGAGCATACAATAGCTGAAACATTGTGAATATGACAATGAAGATGAGGACAACAGTCTGAATAATATAAATAGTGTAAATAATAGATGATAGTAATGGGATCTCTATTCATCCCAATTGACAATGGCTCAAGAAGATACTTTTGTTCATCTTTTCACTGTATTTAATAATATTTTAGTAAATTAGTAAAATTATTAGTAACCACAGAAAAAAGAATCAATCACGTTTCAAATTTGCTTATGACTAATTATATATCTTTCACACAAGCAACATCACTGAAAAATCAGTTTCTGTACAATAAGCAACATTGAGCCTGATCAGTACCAAGATGGGTGACCACTTGGGAATACCAGGTGCTATACGGCCACATCATATTGAAAAACCAGTTCCTGTATGATCACCAAAGTTAAGCAACATTGAGCCTGGTTAATACCTAGATGGGTGACCACTTGGGAATAAAAGGTGCTGTAAGCTTGGATGTGCTGTTGTGTGGCTAACAGCCACATGACATTGAAACATTGGTTCCCATACAATCACCAAAGTTAAGCAACATCAAGCTTGGTGAGTAACCTAGGTGAGTAACCATTTGGACATACAAGGTGCTTTACAGCCACATCATGTTGAAAAAACAGTTCCCGTACAATCTTCAAAATTAAGCTATGTCAAGCCTGATCAATATCTAAATGGGCGACCACTTGAGAATATTAGGTGCTGTATAAGCACATCATGTTAAAAAAATGGTTTCCATACAATCACAAAAGTTAAGCAACGTCAAGCCTGGTCAGTACATAGATGGGTGACCGCTTGGGAATACAAGGTGCTGTAAGCTTGGATGTGCTGGTGTGCAGCTTACAGCCCACATCACATTGAAACATTGGTTCCCATATAATCACCGAAGTTAAGCAACATCAGCCTGGTCAGTACCTAGCTGAGTAATTGTTTGGAAATACTACGTGCTGTATGCTTGGATGTGCAGGTGATGCAATGAATATCGGCTCAGAATTGTTAATCAGAGAGCCGAGTTCCAACTTCATCCACCTCTTCTCCCCTCAATTATGGATTAATTAGTAAGACTTGTATCACAAAACCATTATCTCCAAAAATAAAATAAAACTGTGCACAAAATATTTAGATTTTGGCATTAAATAACCCATAGAGGTGTTGACATGTCACTAAACAAAAACAACTAAGCAACCAACAAATACTGAACCTATTGTTATTGCTATCTTATTTGGTGCTAGCTTTATCTTATTCTTTTAGAGGAGGTGTTGATGAATTTTAGGATAATGTTGGATAAGTTATTTTCAATGGTGCCTGTTATGGATTTGGTAGGTATGATTTTGTGCCTACTTTTACTAGGGTTGTTGCAATTATTATTATTTGTAGATTTTTGTATTTTTCTTCTATGGATTTAGTATGCTTTGCATTTGGCATTTATCAGGGAATAATTCGGGTATTGGAGGAGTTTGAAAGTGTTTTCGATGTATCTCTAGAAATTGGGAGCCACAGATTCTAAGAGCTCTTAAATAAAAGATTATGATTACTCTAGATATGGATTTTATTTTATTGTTGTGCTCAGAGTAAAAGTGTATAAGAAATTCATTAACACCACCTCTAAAACAAAAAGAAATATAGTTAGCACCAAATGAGATAGCAAGAACAGGACAGAGGCAGGAATATACAGAATAGATTGTACAAAATGCCCAATGATCTACATTGGTGAAACATCCAGAAACATCAAAATAGACTACATAACCTCACTTTAACTCTGATTCCTTAGCATTTTGTAGAAATGAAATTGAGTTCCTCAATTCACCAAGTTTTGGAAACATTTTAAACTGAATTTAAAACAAAAAATGTTAAATTCATAAAGTTCTTGGATTATTTTTATTCAATATAAATTAAAAACTTTTAAAATTACTAAATTTTAAAATTTGAATTTTTAACTCTTTGTTCCTCATCCACACACAAATCACAATGTTCAAGCATCAGATAATGAGTTGATTTTCAATCCCAGCATCATCCTGATTCCGGAAAGGTATAATATGTCTCTGTATAGCAAGTGGAGCCTGAAATAGATGGGTTTCAGTCGCATGGATGGACACAAAGAATTTACCATTTATTAATTTAGATGGTGATGCATTACAAGTGACCTGGATTAGAAGGCCTACATAATAAGGAAAACATTCAGAATAAAGGATTAATGACTGTAAGAATCTACTTAAAAAAATCCTTGTTTGTCCATTATATAGGAGTCAATGTGCCATAAAACTACATTCAGAATCAGAACCTTGGAGATGGGATTAAAAACTATGAGAATCTACCTAAAAATCTTTGTTTGGCACTACATGACCATTATATAAGAGTCAATGTGCCATAAAATCACATTCAGAATTAGAACATTGTAGCTTGGTTTAAAGACTATGAGAATTTACTTAAAAATCATTGTTTTGCACTACATGACCATTATATAGCAGTTAATATGCCATAGAACTATATTCAAAATCATAACCTTCCTGTCTCATTTCCTAAACCAATGCCATGCTCTTACATTTATAATTTACAAAGTAGTTTGGCGACTGTTGATAAATTCACGATATGCCTCTTATAGTAATTAATCATATTTAAAAGTGATTTCATCTGAGTAACATTTGTCATTATTGATACAGTCCTGGGTATGATGATAAACTATATCCAGCAGCAAAGCCTCTGATTGGAAGATAGAAAGTTTTGAAGAGCATGGAACCATCACTTAAATGATTGTGTGAACATTATTTTTTTTAAAAAACTCTTTGTCATTTGTGGACTTCAAAAGTACTTTATGCATGTTGATTGTAAGCATTCATTCTCGATTCGGTATCTATACTGATGACTCAACTATTTACTCCTGTCTTAATAGTATCAGTTCAATAAGGTCAAATTGGCAGCTGATTTAAAAAATAACCTACAATCTGTTCTAAAATGGGACAAATGTTTAATGCCTCCAAAACAAAACTGCTTTCTTTTAATCATCTGAAAGAACCCTTTTTTTTAATCATCTGAGAGAACCCTTTTTTTTTAATCATCTGAGAGAACCCTTTTTTACCTTTCATCATCATGGTTGATGCTAACCCCCAGGAGAGTGACTCATTGCACCTTCATGGACTAATGTTTTCTGCTGATAGGAAATGGAAAGACCATATCTAATCAATTGCTAGGTCTGTAGCTAGGAAAATTAGTTCATTGTATTGAGCTAGACAATTTCATATTTACTTACATGTTTACAATTCACCTTTGCTTGAATATTGCTTCCACATTTCATCTGGTGCTCCTGCTATATATTTAGATATATATAAAATCCAAGAAGAATCTGCAATGTTATTGGTCCTGACCTGGCATCTTGGCTTATTCAACTTCCCACCACCATAACATAGCTTCCCTCTGCCTTTTCTATAAATACATTCATGGTAATTGTTCAGATAAACTTTCCTCTTTGGTACCTAGACTTTATGAATTTAAGCATAGAACTAGGAAGCATGGTGGAGTAATAGAGTGGCTTGGATTGAGGAATCCGAGAGCTGAGTTCAAATTACAGACAAGTCCATTATATTCACTTAAGTGATAATACTCTTGGGAAAGGTATGAATCCTCTTCTTCTCTGCTCCCCCCCCCCAGCTATGGGTAAATAGCAGGATAGACCAGGTTCTATAGCCTTGAATGGCAACTGGTCTACCACAGAACCTACTGCAGGAAAAAATCCACCTTGTCAGTCATGTATCGAAAGATACATGATCGCCTAAACATGTAACACACATGACACATAACTGACTGACTAGATTAGCAGCAAATTCTCATCATTTTACAGTTGAAATGACTAGATGTAATGGTAAGTTCTATGCTATCAGTTTCTTATCTCAGAGTTTTCTCTAGTGGAACTTTCGCCTGGTTTCTTGCTTTCCAACAACTTGCATCTTAGTAGCTTTAATGCTTTTTTGATTTAGAAAAAAAATGGGGAAAAAATAGCATCTTGTGGTTCCACATTGTACTTCAATTCATTGAACTTCAATTCTTGACAAGCTTTTCAGAAATAAAGATTGGGGAAGTTTTATTTCTTTTTTGGTTACACTGAAAGATTTTCTGTGTTGGGTAGAAATCATATTTTATCCAAGGATTTATCATCATTCTATAAACCCCATTCCACTGACATGAAGTGAAATGACTATATTAAATAAATTGCTTGATCTACTGCAAAGAAAGTTGGTTCACTGTGCTGTGCCAGAAAATCTTTATCATTAGAATCCATTTTGCACATGCATTGAATACTTTTGCCATATCTGGTCTGGTGCTCCTGCTATTCATCTCAAGGTTCTTGACAAAATCCAAAGATGGATCTGCAATATAATCGATCCTGACTTGGCATCTCAATGTGTAACTGCTCTGACAAGCTTTTTTACCACGGTACCCTGACTAGATGAATTTAAGTGTGCTACTAGATTGTCATCTAGGTCCCACCTGTTTACTGTTGAAATAGTTAAATGCAACTGCCACTTCTACAGGTAAATGGAGTTTTGACAGCCCAGGAAGGCCGCCCATCTAGGGGAAGAAAACACTAGTTTTAAGCCTCTGCTGCCTTGCAGTCATAACCAAACATGGAAAAGACTATGGAAGTAAATCTAGGTAAATATGTCAGAGTGGAGCCCTGAAGGCAGTTGGCTTTCAACACTGACAATGTTCCAGCAACTCCTACAGCCAAGCTATCAACAAATGTAGTGAATTGAAGAATTCAAAGTTATTTCTTCAAAATTATCATTGCTGTTTTCTAAGCTGAACTAAAGGTCCTTTTTGTCTTGGTCCAGAGGCCCAATTAGCCTTCCACAGGAACTGGTTAATAATAAAATGATCCGATCCATCCTTGATATCATGTGTATAGATCAAATAATCTGTCTTCTATTAATTCTTTGTCACTTCTTCAAATCATTTTGCTTAACCTTGCTTAAACTTCATCTTGTTCTTACTCATTCTTTCAACATGTCCTTTTTTATGACAACCAAAATATTCTTCGTTCATGAAACCACACATTCCCTCTTCATGTTTTTTCAGTTTGCATCTGAAATAAATTTTCAATTTTGCTGAATTTCTTACAAGCATAACCAATTTTCTCTCTTGATCTACATTTGAAACAACTTTTTCTGGCTTCTTTCTCAAAATGACTTAAAGGCAGCTTATTCAACAAATCCTTCTCCATACTAAGTCCTTCCTTCACTACCCACTCTTTAAATAGCAATCTCATTTGTATTCTCACAAATTAAATCTCTTCCTTTAGATAAGAATTACTTTTAAATATTAACCCTTTGAATATCAAATACAATTCCATCTGTGATAATCTCTTTCATCTTGTCTCTAAAATTGCATGTTTTTTTGGTAATTTTCTCCATGATTTCCCCTGACATAGAATTGGAATGAATTGAATCAACTATGTCTAATCCTGAGAAAGTTAGTTCACTATTCTGTGCCAGAAAATGTTTCTCACCAGAATTCATCTTGCACATTTATAAATGTACCATTTGTCCATGCATTGAATACTGCTGCCATATCTGGTCTGATTCTCCAGCTATATATCTTGAGATTTTCAACAAAATCCAATGAAGAGCCTATAATGTTTCTGTTGTAACCTAGGGAAGGTTACTAAATTTTCATTGTATTAGTTTTAATTGCATTAGTTTTAATTGCATTAGTTTTAATTGCATTAGTTTTAATTGCATTAGTTTTAATTGTATTAGTTTTTAGAATTTTGTAAATTTAAAATTATTCTTACAAATTAAGAATCTATAAATAGTATTTAATATTT